TGAATTTTGGCCAAGCTTAAAATCCTTATTTTCCATCAGTAGGAAAGCGCCATGCCATGCGGATACGACAATGAAACGGCGCTCCATTTGCGTTTAGCGCACGCGATCGACTTGCTGCTTTTGTGGCGTGATGACATTCGTGTCTCTTTCACCTTATTTCACAAATACAAATATTATAATACAGATATTGTGATATTAAAGAAATATGAAATTATATGAAATTCTCATCAAAAAATTTGATGAACAGGACTGTTTCGGTCCATTAAGTCGTAGGTATTCCTCTTCAGCACAACAACATACCACATGTTCAGTGCCGAACGCCCCTTCCCGCTAAATTTGATGCCTGTTATATTTAGCCAAACCGCCTAAATTCCTTACGTTAACGGTTCCGGCGTTCCTGTTCACAGATAAAAAGGATGCGCAGCCTGTGTCTCCCTTCCGAAAAGGGATGCATCTTTATTCATTTTTAAACTGGGAGGGAGCAGTAAGCAGCGGATTAGCAAATGGAAAATGGTACTAACAAGTGTTTCGGCTTCTCCAGCTTCAGTCTTTTATGGTATCGTTTTTCAAAAGCTTTGTCATAGTTGGTGAAAAGACAGTGTGTTCTTTTTCAAGGTTTGATATGTATTCCTGATTTTTCTGAAAAATTTATAGTAATTTTTTGGTTGTTTTGTTAAGTTTATAAGTTTTGTTTCAAACTATTAGTTTGCTGGCAAAGTTCCATTTTCTAAAATATTGTTGAAGTCGCTCACCATCTTCCCCGGTGCTCATCCCCTAGCCCTGTCCCCTCCTTTCCACTTTAGGGCAGTTCCCGCAGTAGGCCTCTGCAAAAAATTTTTTACCATACTTAACGCTTGAAAGCATGATTGTCGTTTCGGAAATTGATGGAACATGCTTGGCCTGTTGTTAAACTGCTTATGAAATTGCAGGTTGTGCGATGCAATTGTCAACCAACAGCCCAGGAAATAGCGGAAGGACGTGGTTGCAGTTTGGGATGCATCAATCGGGAGCTGTACACGGAGTGCGGTTCGCGTTGTCCCAGTGATTCGGGCTGCGCCAACAGGCGTTTCCAGAAAGTAAATTTATTAGTTAATCTTGTCGCCTCCCAATCCTCCCATTATCTTTAACGCTGGTATGGAAAATGTGTTAGTGGTTTATCATGTAGCAGACCCCGAAGACACCGACTCGTGGCACAGAATGCCGCGATGACACTGCGAAGCGACTGATATTTCAATTATAAGTAGTGTCAGCTTCCGGGTTGAATTGTGATTTA